TATGTGTAAAGAGTGACACGTTAGTCCCTGTCTGCCCAGACACATAGACATAGGACTTCAGTTTGTTATGATTATATTTAAATCCAGGATAGGAGAATAGAAACTCCCTCCCCTTGAGGTTGCCACAAGTTAGAAATTCTGAAATGATACACGTTCAGGAGTCAAAAGTAAAATAAAAATTGGTTGATGCAAATAACCACACGTATATTAGTTTATTTACTGATAGTCTCTCACTCACTTTCCTGCGTCTGTATTTACTGAAACCACTGCTCGGTTATATTGTATATTTGTATATAGTGATGTATATGTTGATCAATGCTGTACCTCTTATGCCGCTGATAGCGGCCTGAGTGTCATAAAGTTCAGTTCGGTTCAGGTAAAGCTTTGGTATAGCTATGTGTATATGTTTATTCGTATGTGTGGCCAAAAGACATAGTACATTATGTTCAAATTAAGGAGTAAATGTTACAATGCGGGTATCTTATTATATGCGGTACAAGTAACAAACACATAATAACAGTTCACAAACAAACTGTTCTCTTGCAAACTATATGACACAATTATATATGATAGCTTCAATAGGAGATTCTCATCATCAGCCACATCTAAATGTTTGTGGTACGAGAATATTACCTCTACGGCAATCTTCTCAGTTCTTGATATTTTCCCACTGTTGTTTAACCCTTTCCCTGTTGGGAGCAATATTCTCCTAGGACATTAAGTTTCTTCTGCAATAATAATTGCAGGATTGCACTTATTCACTTGAGATGATTGCAATCGATTTGATAAAGGGATCACCTTTAAGAAACACGTCTGTATTAAGATGTTTCAGTTAACAAAGCATATTTAATGTTTTTCATGTGATGTTTTGATTGATAAAGCGATATAATACTTTCAGCGAATAAACATAATCTGGCAGTTTGGTTCCTAAACAAATCAGAACTTCAATGCTTTAGTAGTAGCCAAACACGATTCTCGTCTATTATGTTAAGTAGTCATAAAAATCAATATCTATGCAAGAGTATGACACACGTGTGACGGAACCCTCGCTTGGCATTCTGTAATACATCTTCATTCATTCCTTCACTGTATTTGCTGAAACAGCGGGGACTTCGCAAAACTAAACGTTATATTTGAAAATATTACCATGAAGCTAATATTGTGGGTGAGTATAACATTATTTGTTTTCACTTTTATCATGTGTGTTCTGTTTCTGATATAAGTATGTTCTAAACATATGTGGATGCAGTGTTGTGTCCCTTGTCGTTGACGAATACGCGTCAATAACACCTTTTGGTTCTTAGTCACACTCTAATTATAAAAAACACGTATTCATGCATAACATATGTAATATCGATTGAAACAAGGTGAGATAGATTTTTATTATTTCTGCGATTACGACAGTGGACACAGTTGAAGCACAATTAGATGAAAGGTAACTCCAAACTATGCCGCACATATAAATAACGTCAGGCAACCATATAAGGTTAACGGACAATCTTAGCCACATTGGCGATTGTGCATCGACCAGTAACTTTCAACATTGACCAGTATATATATATATATATATATATGTGTGTGTGTGTGTGTGTGTGTGTGTGTGTGTGTGTGTGTGTGTGTGTGTGTGTGTGTGTGTGTGTGTGTGTGTGTGTGTGTGTGTGTGTGTGTGTGTGTGTGTGTGTTATCTGTGCCCACACATCAGTTTCATAACTCATATATCAGTCATGTAATTCACATATCATCAATGTGCCTCCAACATATGACTTATATATTAGTCATGTGATTCACATATCATCATCATGGACCCCATATATGGCACATATATGTTATGTGGCTCACACATTATCAATGTGCCCCCTACATCAGTCATGTGGCCCATATATCAGTCATGTAGACTCGCATATCAATAATGTGCAACCAACATTCGACTCATATATCATTCATGTCCCCCAAGCATCAGTTAAAATACTCATATATCGTAAATGTTCCCCCAACATACGACTCATATATCAGTCATGTGACTCACATTTCATTCAGATTCCGACGTAAGCAAAGGGGCTTGCAATTGTATGTGCTGTTAGTTAGACTGCGTGCCTATGATGTTTGTTGATAGTCTGTTTCCATTGGTCGTGCATACTTTCATGTTCTTCACACTGTCGTACACAAACACATTTCCACTTCCAAAGCACTTCTATCAATATATAATTATCAAAAACAAATTGGATACAGTAATCACCATGATCTTTTAAATATTTTTGATGCTATGATTTCACCAATCCTATGTTATGGATCAGAGATCTGGGGAACCAGCTACTGTAACATTATTAAAAGTGTCCATAACCGATTCTGCAAATTCTTTTGGAAAGTAAATAAGTTCACCAACAATAACATGGTTCTAGGAGACTGTGGTAGGATCCCCCTACAGTATAACTACATGTCAAGAGCAGTCAAGTACTGGTGCAGACTAATTCAGATGAAACAACACAGGCTACCAATCCAAGCTTATTATATACTAAAATATCTTGATGATAATGGTAAAATTACATGGGCATCACATATTAGAATGATTTTATTTCAGTTTGGATTTGGTTTTGTTTGGCTAAGCAAAGACATTGGTAATATTCAACATTTCATGACAGATTTTAAACGAAGAATTTACGACTGCCTCACTCAATATTGGCACTTTTCCCTGACATCATCAACGAAATGCAATTACTACGCACAGTTCAAGTCATAACTAAATGTGGAATCATATATTACTTGTGATATGTCTTCTTACCAACGTAGACTTATAGCCATGTTCCGATGTAATAATTTCAGACTTGCTGTTGAACTGGGGCGTCACAACAACATCCCATATAATGAACGTGTCTGCACTTTCTGTTTTTCAAAGGGACATAACCATGTAGAAGATGAATTCCATGTTCTTATGATTTGTGACAAGTATTCTAGAGCAAGAAGAAACTCTTTTCCCAAGCGTCTCGTTACCCCTCCCTCTATTGAGAATTTTATAAGACTTATGTCAGCTGAAAACGAACAAATTTTAAAAGGCTTAGGTAAATTTCTCTCCCAAGTCATGAACATCGAAAGTGTGGAACGGTAAATCATTATTAAATCTACTCAGGATGCAGATATATATTCAGTATATTTCCATTGTATTATGGGGCGGTGGCCTGAAGTACCGAATAAATTTGTCTGTCTGTCATTTCATTCACGTGTCCCCTACATCAGTCATGCGATTCGTACCAGGTATTGTACACTAAACAATAATTCGTAAAAACATTCATTCATAAGTAGTGAATGGCGTTTGAAACATTAAATTCCAAACAAAACTTGGCCAAAAGCATATTTTTCTCATATGAGCTCATTTGTGTTAAAACAAATCAAGACAATTTGCAAATTAATATTAATAGTAACTCACTGAAATATTTCGTACATTACAATATGTTTATACATGTGTGACTGTGAAAGATTACGATAATATCTATGTCATGTGTCATTATTGACACGCAACCAGTGCACAATGCTGTTGCTCAGTCTTGATACATAACACAATTAAAGGTGATGCAGTTATCTGTATTCTAGGACACGTTAGACAAGACTACAGAAGCTTCACAAGTTAAATTTTATTTTTACTTGTCTATCTTTACTGCAAATTTCTAAACGTTAAGGTTGAGTAGGAAATCGGCACTGTAACTATCCTTAATTGTAGAGTTATGAAGAAGTGTAAAATAGTAATCCTTCCGTCTGATCAATTTCAAATATAAAAATATCAACAAAAAATAAACATAATAATAAATTATAAGAGAATTTTGAATATATGATGTTTTGAACTTTGTTTTATGTCTTTGATGAAAAGAAATATTTGAATAGTTTACGCAAACAAGGGACTCATCTGTTAAGCATCAAATTAAAAGAAATCACAAACCAAATCTAAGAAATAAAATCATAATTGAAATCATTTATTAATTTCATTGAAATGTGGTTGAACTGTCAAATACTATAACATTGTATAATAGAGATTGTTTGGTGTTTTCCTAGTGAGACACGGGAGTTCACAATGTAACGAGATTGTCTGGTGTTTTCCTAGTGAGACACGGAAGTTCACAGTGTTACGAGATTGCCTGGTGTTTTCCAAGTGAGACACGGAAGTTCACAATGTAACGAGATTGCCTGGTGTTTTCCAAGTGAGACACGGGAGTTCACAATGTAACGAGATTGTCTGGTGTTTTCCTAGTGAGACACGGAAGTTCACAGTGTTACGAGATTGCCTGGTGTTTTCCTAGTGAGACACGGAAGTTCACAATGTAACGAGATTGTCTGGTGTTTTCCCAGTGAGACACGGAAGTTCACAGTGTTACGAGATTGCCTGGTGTTTTCCAAGTGAGACACGGAAGTTCACAATGTAACGAGATTGTTTGGTGGTTCCCTAGTGAGACACGAAAGTTCACAATGTAACGAGATTGTTTGGTTTTTTTCCCTGTATGACACGGAAGTTCACAATGTACCGTGAATTGTCTGGTGTTTTCCCAGTGAGACATGGGAGTTCACCACGAAACGATATATCTGGAATTATCCGTAAATTGACCTTTAATCACTTTTGAAAGGACTGGGACAGGATACGCTCATCTGTTCGCGAAAACCTTGTGTCACAAACACACGCTCGTGATAAAGTTGGATTCATACAATAGACTCTGCGTCAACCAGAGACTTCGTATGATTATAAATGGTATGGGTGTTTTGAGCCGGATGGGAGCTACATTGAATGAGCATAGGAAAATTGAAACAATGTGATGACATCTGGAGTGAGGTGCGGTCTTTTTATTCATGTGTTGAATTGGCGCTGAGAACGGACGTATTATATATTCAGCTGACGTTTACGACAGCTTTGTTGCCAGCTCAAAGCAGTTGGGCGCAACATGGCATGAATATTTTAAGGAACTATTAGTAAGGTTCAGGTCCAACTTCTATGATCATGTCTCCACTCTACCAAGCCGTGAGAGTGCCATACTGAACGCAAGCATTGAAATGAACGTTAGCATATATAATGCGTACTTTGAACACTCAGGGCGTGACTTTCAGGAGTTAACAATAGGTGCTAAACATATCCGATGGTTTCAATACCGCCATTCTAAATGTTACGACCTTATTTGAGGATAACAGTGTTGACTGGGTAGAAGAGCAAGCGTCACCAGCATTCCGGACACGATCACAGATTGGGAAGGCACCAGAGCGGCATCCAGCCCCAGCGGCAAGGTACATGTTTGTCCTCATTAACGATGATTATTGTTAACACAATATACAACTGAAAATGTAACTTGGCTTCATATAAAGTGATGTAAATGTTATGTTGTTGGAAATAGCAACATAAGATATGGTCATTCGTCTGATCAATATTTTATCACTACCAGTTTAATGAAAAAAACCATACCTGGTACTACGAGACAGAGGGAAACGACCTAAACGAGGGGTGATATAAAAACGGAATTAACTATATCGATAGCTAAAAGTCATTGTGGTCTGTTCACATTTTGAAAAAATCAAGTGCGTGGGTATCATGCTCCCAATAAACACGTAAACATCCACATAATAATGTGTCGTGTAAATTGAGAATCACGAACTTAAATTCGAGTTGTCTTCATTGAATATGTATTGAAATATTATTTAGGTTCAGAATAATTTTGTATGAAGCACAGTTACGTTTTCCGATTGTATCCAAAACTCATCATTCAAGCGTTTTATCATATGAGTAGGAATCCGTTTTGTACAACGACAGGCATGCTTACATGTTCTTGCGTATGTATACTGTGCCAAAGAAAGTAGGGATAGTGGGAATCATCAAGACATATCTTCTGATCTATATGCCATTGGCAAATGGTATATGATATGATCATGTCTGCTGGGGAGAAGGCGATCAGATCCAATGGGTTCTAATGTTTGGTGTGATGAGAAGGTGGCGCACTAGGTCGTTAAAGAGGTCGTGGTCAGATTCGATATTTGCATTTTCGAGCCAACGTCACTAATATCGGGTAAACCACCTCTGTTGGCAAGACATGCACGAATTCTTCAAGGCAAGTTTCTAAATGTCAGCCTCACTCTTGTGGTTCCATGTGTCAGTGAGAGCAACACCGAGTTCATTGAGAGTGGTTGGTGGATATTGTCGCTGGCGTACACGTCTGTCAATGGCGTCCCAGACATGTTCAATGTGGGTAAAGGTCAGAACTGAGTGGTGGCCTTGGCATGACATAGCTGTGTTGCTGTTGGAGGAACTGGGTCACAATCCTGGTTCGATAAGGATGTGCATTATCATACTTCTAAGATGAAACGTCGCCCAACACGCTGTGCAAATGTCAACACGAGTGGTGCAATGATGTTGTCCCGATAGTATTGACATGTGACAATGACATGGTCAATATGGAGCGTAGTTCGGCCAGTCATTCTGATACCATCCCATACCATTATGGACCCACACCCCAAACCGGTCATACTGTACGACGTAAACGTCCATAAAACGCTCATTTGGACTCTGCAAAGTCGATTCCTTCGGTCATGGACGTCCAGATTGAACCTCGGATCGATTCGTCAGAAAACATGACATTAGTCCATTGTCGATTATCCCAGTGCTGACGTTCCCCACATCACGGACTCGTGGACGTCGTGCACGCAAATGCCATCAGTGTAGACGATTTTGCATCGTCAGGGCATGGCCTCTTACACTAGTTGCCTGTTGCAACCGGTCCCTTATCAGAGTGGCAGTTATCAACCGATTTCTTTATGCCATAGTTCTGACTATTCTGTCATGGGCAGGAATTGTAGCACATGGGCGTCCAGAGCGGCGTCGATCATAGACGTTATGCGCTTGTTGGTATCGGACCTAGCGTTTGAGCAAGAGAATTCTGACGTGTGCCCACCTGTCTATTGCACGTTGCTAACGTCGCATGGCGTGATGTTGCTTCCTTAAAGATTGCATGTGGTACATCACGGCGTTATGTAGACCGTTATATTTGAACTACATCACGGCGATATATAGACAGCTGTATCTGATAACTAACGGCGTTATGTAGACACCCGTATTTGAGCTACGTCACGGCAGTCCACAGACCGCTTCAGCTCAGCTGTATCACGGCATTGTGACGACAGCTGTATCTGACCTACAAATACGTCATATTGCTCTGTATTCGTAGCTGTATCTGAGCTACATCATTGCGTTCTGTATATGTATATGTATCTGAGCTACGTCATTGCGTTCTGTATATGTATATGTATCTGAGCTACATCATTGCGTTCTGTATATGTATCTGAGCTACGTCATTGCGTTCTGGCTATGTATATGTATCTGAGCTACGCCATTGCGTTCTGTATATGTATATGTATCTGAGCTACATCATTGCGTTCTATATGTATATGTATCTGAGCTACGTCATTGCGTTCTGTATATGTATATGTATCTGAGCTACATCATTGCGTTCTGTATATGTATATGTATCTGAGCTACGTCATTGCCTTCTGTATATGTATATGTATCTGAGCTACGTCATTGCGTTCTGTATATGTATATGTATCTGAGCTACATCATTGCGTTCTGTATATGTATATGTATCTGAGCTACATCATTGCGTTCTATATGTATATGTATCTGAGCTACGCCATTGCGTTCTGTATATGTATATGTATCTGAGCTACATCATTGCGTTCTATATGTATATGTATCTGAGCTACGTCATTGCGTTCTGTATGTGTATATGTATCTGAGCTACGTCATTGCGTTCTGTATATGTATATGTATCTGAGCTACGTCATTGCGTTCTGTATATGTATATGTATCTGAGCTACGTCATTGCGTTCTGTATATGTATATGTATCTGAGCTACGTCATTGCGTTCTGTATATGTATATGTATCTGAGCTACGTCATTGCGTTCTGTATATGTATATGTATCTGAGCTACATCATTGCGTTCTGTATATGTATATGTATCTGAGCTACGTCATTGCGTTCTGTATATGTATATGTAACTGAGCTACGTCATTGCCTTCTGTATATGTATATGTATCTGAGCTACATCATTGCGTTCTGTATATGTATATGTATCTGAGCTACGTCATTGCCTTCTGTATATGTATATGTATCTGAGCTACATCATTGCGTTCTGTATATGTATATGTATCTGAGCTACGTCATTGCGTTCTGTATATGTATATGTATCTGAGCTACATCATTGCGTTCTGTATATGTATATGTATCTGAGCTACATCATTGCGTTCTGTATATGTATATGTATCTGAGCTACATCATTGCGTTCTGTATATGTATATGTATCTGAGCTACGTTGCGGCGTTATTGATACAGCTAATCCAGATAATTGGACAGTTGGCATTATTGTCCCTCTTCACAAACAGGGCGCAACCAGCGATGTTAATAATTACAGAGGCATAACTCTCCTAAGTACATTCAGTAAAATATTTACTTCAATTATTAATAAGAGACTTGTTTTCTTGGCGGATTCTTTGGATAAGATAAGTGAGTCACAAGCAGGTTTTAGAAAAGGATACTCCACCACTGACAATGCTTTTATCCAATGTTCTATAATTCAGAGATATCTATCAGTGAAACGAGGGAAGCTATATGCTGTATTCGTAGATTTTGCAAAAGCTTTTGACTCTGTGAAAAGGGATAACTTGTGGTCACTCTTCAAAGACATGGGCTAAGTAGCAAATTTGGAAAGTTATTATGCTCTCTATATAAAAATGTGAAGGTGTGTGTCCGGAACAATGGCGCTATATCGGATACTTTTGTAAGTAGCAGGGGTGTCCGACAAGGGTGTATATTAAGTCCCTTCTTATTTTCCTTTTTCATAAATGATTTGGCATATCAAATCCAAAAAAATTGCACTGATGGAATACAACTGCACCCCGAAACTATTAAATTATTTCTGCTTCTTTTCGCTGACGATATAGTCATGTTCTCGAGCACAATACCTGGCCTGCAAAAGCAAATACATGTATTAGAGAGTTATTGTGACGAGTCAAAACTTACTGTAAATATGGTTAAACCAAAGTTGTAGTTTTTCAAAAATGGTGGTAACATATCCAGAAAAGAAAAATGGTTTTACAGAAGGAAGCCCGTAGAAGTTGTTCCATTTTATAAATACTTAGGCTTGTGTTTTACAAGTAGATTAACTTGGTCAAGGAATGCACATAACATTTCATTGCATTACAGAAAATTTTTGTAGGCATATTAAAAAGTCTTAGAGTTCTGGACAATGTTACATATGATGTTTATTTTAAAATATTTGATACAAAAATAAGCCCGATGCTATTGTATGGATCAGAAAGTTGGGGCCTAGAACATTTTGATGTTATTGAGAAAATACATTTATATGCATTTAAACGGTTCTTGGGGGTAAAATCTAGCACAGAAAACGCAAGGGTATATGTTGAATGCGGACGGTTTCCCATGTATATCAATAGTTATTTAAAGGTTATTAAATACTGGGTCAAGCTATTAAATATGCCATCTTCAAGATACCCGAAAAAATGTTATAATATGATGCTTCTCTACGACAGCCATGGGAAACAAAATTGGGCATCAAAAGTTAAAAACATGTTATACGAATGTGGATATGGTTATATTTGGTTACAGCAACATGTAGATATGCCACAACATTTCTTCTCCCGTTTGACACAGACTTTAAAAGATATGTACATTCAAAAATGGCATTGTTCTTTGTCCAGTTCTAGAAAAGCAAACTACTACACTACATTTAAGACTACTATTATACTAGAACCTTATCTATTAAGTGTAAATTTACATAAGTTTAGAACAGCTCTTTCTCGATTCCGTTGTGGTTCACATGATCTATTTATTGAAACAGGCAGATATCAAGGAAGAGCAAGAGAACACAGACTTTGTAGGATTTGTAAAACTGATTGTACTGAAGATGAATATCACTTTTTATGTGTATGTCCAGTGTATGAAGATTTAAGAGCAAAATATCTAAATAACTATTTCTACCGCAACCCAAACGGTAACAAATTTTGTAAATTAATGACTTGTGATTGTACAGAAACTATTAGAAATCTATCAATGTTCATTTATCATGCCATCAAACTAAGAAAATGTATGAATTTGTAACACGCCCCACACATTGTACTGTAGGCCTTTGGCCTCATAAGTACCATGAATAAAGATTGATTGATTGATTAATTGATACAGCTGTATCTCGGGTGCGTCACTGCACTCTACAGGCATCTACATAACAGGCGTTCTGTAAACGTTTGTTCTGCACAACGTTCCACAAACAACCCACCTGTATCGGGTTGCTGTCCCCAGCCTTTATACCGGAAGTATGCACACAGGTGTATCTGAATATACGCCACAGTTTGTTCTCACTTTGCCGGCAGACTGGGGGATTTAAAACAAACGGTTCGGGCATTTCAAAGCTATAGTCTGTTCCAGGATGAACAGTATGATCCAGCCAAGCCTTGGCAATAAGGAGTAAGTGAACCGTGTTCACCTATCATTTATTTCATAATAAATTGATATCCATTTTTATCATAAATTACAATATTATATAAATACTTCTCACCAGTAAGTGTCTTTGCAAAGTGGCAAAAGCACAGGTCGACGCTTTATCTATTCCTAATTCTCGCGGTGGGCAGAGTTTAGTGTACAATGGGCACAAGTTGTGTTACAGGTAGAATATGTGAAGACAATTACACTCTCTATGCATGCCTCAGCATTCACAGGAGTCTGGAACTAACTATAGGCTTAATCGCTATTGTTGCAGGGATTATCTCGGTCTGAAGATTTTTTTTATGAGAAAAATACCAGCCGACAAAGTGAGAACACCCCTACGCCACACCGTTTTCTAGACAGCTGTATCTGAACTACGTCACAGCGTGTTGTGGACAGTTGTTTACGATCACGGGCTTAGTCACGGCAGCGAGACAGCCTCAACTCAACTCAATTCACGGCGATATGTAGGCAATTGTACCAAAGCCGTTTGTTGTATGATTTATCATATCATTGTTATAACTACGAGAGATGTTTTCTCACAGAACATGCAGATTCTATCCCACCGTAATACACGAGATGCCAATGCAGTACTAGACTAATACGCCGATATGTTGACCAATGTAAAACTCAGATGAATATGCCGGCTGAAACAAAATCATATACACGTTCACCAAACCCCATAGGTAGGATGCAATCTATTGCCATAGGTAGGAGCATACTGGATTCATACGTATGCGTATTAGTTTGTTTGTTTATTTGTACATTAACGCCGCACTCAGCAACATTCCAGCTATATGACGGCGGTCTGTAAATAATCGAGTCTGGACCAGACAATCCAGTGACTGACATCGTGAGCATCGATCCACGCAATTGGGAGCGATGACATACATCAACCAAGTCAGCGAGCCTGAGCTAATTCCGTTAGTCACCTCTTACGACAAGAGTATCAGTAGGTTCATTTACAACATGTGTGACGAGAAGGGGTTTCGGGCGAAGATTTGTTGTCAAGTCTCATTATGACACAACATGATATTTTTGGGATGTGTTTTCATTTTTTCAGGCTATGGCGACTATGATTTTCATCCTAATCTCGACAGCTGTCTTTGGTAAATATACTTAATACTTATCCGTTAAGAGATCACCCATTTAATAACAATACATCTTATTACACATTGTTTAATAAAGTTACGCGCGGACGGGACTATATTTTGAATCAGTGGGTCATTCGAATGTTCGTCGAGAGCCCTTTGCAACTGTGCTTCCAGACGAATAATCTACCCCCGATAGACTCTACTATTTTTCACAAAACGCCAGAGCTCCGCATACGTTGACACCACGTTTGTCTTTTTGGGGTTTGGTGTGTTGTTTAATAGACTTCACACATTGTACCAATGTCGGGAATCGAACCAGGGTCTTCGGCGTAACGAGCGAACACTTTAACCACGAGGCTACCCGACCGCCCCTTTTCTGTATTATTTAAGTATGATAGTCTAATACGAACTATGTATAGCAGGAAATATACAGCAATTGTGGTGTTGCAATTTGCAGATAGAGTATGTAGTTAGATGAGTTATGTAGTAAAAAGGAGTTTTCGACATACAGGGTATTTCCAGGGGATTGACGAATGCGTTAGCTTGAGTCTGCCTGAGAAATATCGAGTTCTATACACGAAAACCCATTCAGCAAATAATTTGTATCATCGTGTCAAATGACTGAAAGACGCTCGGTGAAGAATAACAGTTATCATTAGTGTATATTCTTAATCGTAAAAACACATTAATTTTTAAGATAATCGTATTAAATTTCTTTTAAATAATTCATTCAAATATGGGCGATACGTGGGACTGTATACATATTTGTAATTATTCCACGTGTCTGCAATTACATCGACTTGTTAAACATCTTATTTTAGGCAATGGGTGATTTTATAGAAAGGATACCACCGTTTTTCATTAAAAGTGAAATATATTTAATTACAATTCCACCATGACATTGAAAAATATACGGAAATATTCAACATTATCAAAGTACAAATGTTTCATGAAGAAATTGATTCAATATGCCCGTACCTTTATAAACCAACACACAATAATTTGTAATGTGTCACCCTGTCAAACATGCTTCTACAGATAAATTCTTATTGCACCCTGTGCATTCTTTTCAGGATGTGTCGTGTCTCAGGAAAACAACGACTATTTTGGAACATATGTATCTCCTCAAGGTAATATTTTTTATGCAACTTTACAGTTTATGGGCGGAGAAGGGTCCATTGCACACAGAACAATCTGAAATCCTCGCTCAGAAACGACATTACCATTGGCAACAACTTGGGGGCTAAACGGGATCTGAGGTCTGAAGTATGCCTTAACGTGAAGGAGGGTGTTATAGCCACGAAAGGGATTAGAGTAACCGCTAGTGAGGATATATCGGTGTCTGCCTAGACTTCTGAAACTAAGTAAGGAAGCGAATCGTGCCTTGTTCTACCAACGATTCAACTATCAACAGAATACATTTTACTTTGCAGTTTCTGCCATTGCGGGTATTCAAAACCCATGATAATAGGTACTACCATCGACACCGACATCAAACTAACAATTACAGAATCCAGTGGCAGCTGCATTGGCTCTGGCTTTGATGATAGGAAACTGGTTCATGTGATACTGGACACGATTGGTGTTTTCGGTTTGTTTTACAAAGATGACATTACTGGAACACATATCACGAGTTCCAAACTAATTGCTGTTATCTCTGGGTATCATGGCCCTGGATCAGAAAACGATTGATTAGACCCGGCTTGAAAGATGCTTATCCCATTTCACATGCACGAGACCAACTACATCCTGTACAACATACACCCAAAGGTGTCAGTTGTCTATCTGGTGGTAGCAGCTGCTGACAATACCGATATTGCAGGCGACGCTGATCACGTTCTTCAAGAGGGGGAATTTATCGATGTACATATCACTGGTGCAGACTGTCTGAATGCAAGTGGTTCTTTTCCTGTTGCTGCATTCACCGAACATTTGGGTCCCTTTCATGGCAGTTGTACAGTCTACAGATTTCATGAGTTAACGCTTAGTGTATACTCACGCGAATCCTGTTGCGCACCATATGTTGTCGATGATGGCAATGGTCAAAACAAAATATTGACCACATTGTCTCAGGGATGTCAGTGACTAAATCAAAAATACATTCTGTGTTTGAATTTCCTATTTGTATATATACACAAGAGTTTGATTCAATGTTGAATCTAAAATCCTCATCGCATTTTGGCCTGATGTATATCAGAGTTGGTGAATGAAAAGTAATGGGAAATTCCGTTGGCGTCTGTCTTTTAATTTTCTCCAATAATCAATTAATGAAAGTATCCAAATGAAATTAAAATGTGCAATGTCTACAAAATACTAAGATTATGTTTCTTAACATTTCTTTTGATAACATCAAAACCATAAACTGGATGGCCGTGTACCAATGCAAGAGTACTGGCGTCTTCCAATTCACTATTTAATGAAATGGTATTCCGGTGGCTTTGAAGACGATAAATTGGTTTTACAAGAGACATTTTGTTAATTTGCAACCTATTTGAAGAAACCCACATCTATAATAAAATAATGAGACTAACCTGATGTCCAAAGGAAACACTACCACTTTAAAAATGAAATTGCACAAAATGAAATTGCACAAGTTCAAAATAAAGCGATGTCTTCAGCAACAAATACCATAGGACATATGGTTTGTCGACAGACAGTGGGGGATGGGGGTTGTGAGAGAACACCACTGGTCATAGATAGCGGGAATTTGTCAATCCTACGATCTGTGAGAGAACACCACTGGTCATAGATAGCGGAAATTTCTACAACAGCTGCCACGTGTTGTCCTTTATCAGCATGGCAACGCCAGACCCCATGCATCCCAAAAGTACAAAACGTTATTGCAGCCAACAACGTGAACGTGTTGCTGTGGCTTACACTCCCCAGCCATCTAACCAATAGATCACCTCTGGGATGTCATAGATGTGGTATGACTGTCATTTTATATGTAGATTTCGTTGAGATTCTGATCTTTGCAATCTATTTCAATCGTTTGTGATTTTTAAACTAGAGTGATTTATAACTGTGGTAAAGTTTCTTTTGACCGTCAGTTTATATACATGAACAGGCAAATGATGAACTGTAGAATGTCATGGTTTTATTTTTTTAAAGCTTTCATACAAAGACCATGACAAATAATTTCCAGTGCCATGTACAGTACTGGAAACTGCCATTTCCCATTGCAGGTGGATCAATACCATTCTTCAACAAACAAAACAAAGTTAATTCGACCACTACTGTTTCTGCAGCCTCTTCAACAACATTACCTTCATCGTCCCCTGCCATCGTTCCAACTGCAAGATCAGCATCAACGACGGTTGATCTGTACTCTACCACCCGTTCAAGCATCATAACACCTGACTCCGCATCAACGACGGTTAATCTGTACTCTACCACCCGTTCAAGCATCCTAACTCCTGACTCCGCATCAACGACGGTTAATCTGTACTCTACCACCCGTTCAAGCATCCTAACTCCTGACTCCGCATCAACGACGGTTAATCTGTACTCTACCACCCGTTCAAGCATCCTAACTCCTGACTCCGCATCAACGACGGTTAATCTGTACTCTACCACCCGTTCAAGCATCATAACACCTGACTCCGCATCAACGACGGTTGTTCTGTACTCTACCACCCGTTCAAGCATGATAACGCCTGACTCCGCATCAACGACGGTTAATTTGTACTCTTCCACCCGTTCAAGCATGATAACACCTGACTCCGCATCAACGACGGTTGATCTGTTCTCTACCACCCGTTCAAGCATCATAACACCTGACTCCGTTCCAACGACGGTTATTTGGTCCTCTACCACCCGTTCAAGCATCATAACACCTGACTCCGCATCAACGACGGTTGATCTGTTCTCTACCACCCGTTCAAGCATGATAACACCTGACTCCGCATCAACGACGGTTAATTTGTACTCTTCCACCCGTTCAAGCATGATAACACCTGACTCCGCATCAACGACGGTTAATCTGTCCTCTACCACCCGTTCAAGCATCATAACACATGACTCCGCATCAACGACGGTTGATCTGTTCTCTACCACCCGTTCAAGCATCCTAACACCTGACTCCGCATCATTGACGGTTAATCCGTCCCCTGCCTTTAGTCCAAGCATCACAACACCTGCTCAGCCAACTACTGCTTCTGTCGCAACTCCCTTTGCAATCTCAACTACAGCGACTCTTCCTACCACATCCACTGAACCTGTGTCCTCTGTCACTACAGCTCCAGCTCTGACTACTACTACCACTTCTACAACCTCCAGAAATACATCTTCAAAGACAACCACAGTTCATCTGGACCACAACGGACAACCAGTTAGAACAGTGAAACAATTATGCACATGCTTTTGTAAATCGAAAGGTCGCCTTGAGTCAGTGACAACCCAAGCAATTTCCGAGAAGAAAGCAAATCTCAAACAGAAGTTGCAAGTGAAAACAACCAATCTGACTAGTGCTATAAGCAAGAAGAACAGCGCAACAGACAGCAGGAAGTCCTCTGCAAGTATCGGCTATGTCGCAATGTTGCTTGTCATGTTGCCAATGATCCTACTTGTGTTTTCAGACCTGGTCCACTTGACATCTGCGATTATTAAGATCAGTAAACAGACGACTGCTAGGATGAATTAAAAGATGAGTCATTTCAAACAGGACCTCTTCGAAGGACGAAAAGGCAACTGGTTGCTTGTGTCATTTCATACACGATACACGTACGAGGTTAATGCTATCTAAACTGTACATGTACAAATATAGACGTGCTGCACACGGCCATGCACCGGCACCATGACTACGCCGTGTGGCCACTGATTTTCAGTGATCCATTCCTCTTAATGTCGTCGTACTTTGTTTCAGAAGATATTCGAGACTGATTGTCTGAAATTGATGTTCTCGAATCGAATGGTGTTCTCGCTATACTAAATACGTAACATTTTGCATGGATGATATCTCAGTGAATAATATCCTCAAACACTACATGATATGACGCAGTAGTTTAAGTGTTCTTTGGTCATGCTTGGGCAAGTGAAGTTTGTTTAACACGGCAGTCGGAAAAATATCTCAGCTGTTTCATTGCAGCCTGGGGCGGTCGGGTTTCCTAGTGGTTAAAGCATTCGAAGACCCGGGTACAATGTGTGAAGCCCATTGGTAGTGTTCCCCGCCGTGATGTTGCTGGAATATTGTTAAAGGCGGCGTATAACCTCACTCACTCACTCATTGCAGTCTGTTAATAATCAAGATAATAATACACCAGTGCTAAAGCAACGTCCCAATGCCTCGGAGAACGATGACACGCAATCAACCTACTCAGCCACCGAGCCTGACCTCCCGATCCATAAAGCGTGCAATAGAATGCTGGAGATCTACCAAAACCTGAGTCCCCATGGGGAACAGATAGAATAACAGACTAATAACCACAAAATCGTTCTGAGTCGGTTACAACTTTGCTAAATGGCAATGCTGCAATTCACGCTGACCAAACGATTGGCCACCGCTAGCAGCAAGAAGATCAGTGCAACAACTACAACTTTAAAGACAACGACAGTTTAACTGGTCTATAACGGACAACCAGTTGGAACAACACAGAGAATGTTCTTGTACATCAAAAGGTTTCATTGAGACAGTGACAATTCAAGCTGTTTTTGCTAAGAAAACAAGAAAGCGAAACTGCAACAGACGTGACCAAAAACACCGTTATCAGCAAGAGGACCAGTGCAACCGACAGCAGAAAATCATCTTCACATTATGGCTGTCGGTCGTAATGTTGCTTTTTCTGCTTCTTACCTGCTCTCCTGGCACATACGATTGCAGGAATCATTCACATGTGCAAACATACGACAGCTCAAAATGGCGATGTGTTCGTGGCAAGATTGCACGGCATAGGAAATGACAGCACAACGAAGAGACAATGGATAAAGGTGTTCTGATCTGTAATACGGGATGCAGCTTTTGGAAATGATTTGTATTGATAGTACGTATGCAGAACATATACTGTGACAGGGATTTTGAAAGACACGCGACATGTACAATTCACGCATAATGTTAAAAAAGTGGCGCATCAAAACATACAGTTAGGGTCCTTCATGATCACAAGTTTTCTTACCTGCGCCACCAAGTTTACGTTGACTGACATATTACAATTTAATTTCATCATCACGAGCAATGCATCGACGATTTGCCACCATCTTTGTTAACGCTGGATTTTCACCGAATACCTCTCCGCGTTTCATCTTGAGTCAATAAATCCAAGCCCAGTTATTTAAATATTTCGATGCATCCACAGAAAGACATTGTTCACACTCACAAACGTGTGGCCCTTCAACATGTTGAATGGATGCTCAATCAGTAGTTGATGGAGATGGCGATGAGTCGTCGCAGTTATGCCTACATAGAAAGACTTAAAATACTATTGTCCATCGCATTTCGGACCTCGGCGTATAATACTTTCAGTGTGCTGTTTAATTCTTGGGGTTAAAGTGTGTAAAATTCCACAGATTTTCATCGCAGACCAAGCCAGTCCGGAAATAGAGATTAATCTCTTAGAGAAGGACTTGTAATCCAGAGTTGGTGTGAAATAATTATGAATTTCCTATCAATGTGTACGTGTTACTGAGATTGTGAATATACCATTTGACCTTTTGTGCATTTCCTACGGTAGCCTGGGCCAACTCATTCCATATCGACACGTCAGATTTCCTTATTTACTTCCTGATCACGGGAGACGTTTCAGTTTAAAAATATATTTAGATACTTTCATGCAAAAATCAATATAAACTGCACTGAAAATTTTGAATCCAATATTGCTGCCACAATGATGCCAGCACAAATACGTTACCTGTTTTGTATTTGGTTTAAATGCAGCCTGTTAGCATGGAAAGTCTTGTACTATACATATTCAAACTGTTAAGGGTGTAACGTATCTTCACGATACAGATCTCACCTGTCATGTTTGTAAGTGAAGGCCATGATATCGCTTATCTTAAAACAATGGAAATTCAGGGTCAAGGAAATAGTTTGTACAATATAGTATTACCTTTAGTTTCTGTCTTTGGGGTTTAACACACTGCAAACACGAAAACGTCATTTTTTCCGTATATGGTCATTGGACGGAAAAACGACGCATGTACTGCAACAGGGTAATCCTAATATTATATATCGCCTTCTATTCGTCTCTGCAGATTACAAACCGCTTGAAAATAACCGTTACTGTGGCTACTCACAGTTTAAACATATTCAGCAAAGCTACAGTGCCCAAGCAGTATATGGTATTGGTGAGCTTACAAATATATCTTCTTGCGCCTATTATCTGCTTTAGATATTTTCTGATGTTTCCTTAAAAATAGCAACTATCTCGAAACACTACGTACTTTTATGTAACAACAATTTCGTTTTATAATATATTTTTTATTTATTCATTCATCATATTTATGTAATATATAATACCCACAATTTAATTACCTACGGAAAAAACATAACGATTTCTTTTCACAAAAGTTGAAATGTGAAATGCAAAGCCGCAGTCATTTCTTTTTTTAATGTATGTTTATTAATGCGATGATACTTTGTTTTGTCAAAAGCAAAGCTGAAAGAATAAAAAAATCACATGTTCAGCGTGAAACATATTTTTTAACTCTCTTGAGCATTTCAGTGACTTGATCTTACTGAGATCGTTAGCTCATGAACAAGACCAAACAATGCATGCTTCAAACCAACCCTGTTCAGTGAAGCTGATTCTGCACAAAGCCATTTACCAGACATATAGACTGGAATAGTTTTGTTTGTTTGTTTGTTGTGTAACGCCGCACTCAGAAATAGTCCAGCTATATGGCGGCGGTCTGTAAATAATCGAGTCGGGACCAGACAAGCCAGTAATTGACATCATGAACATCGATCCAGGCAACTGGGCTATGATGACATGCATCAACTAAGTCAGCGAGCCTGACCACTCGATCTCGTTAGTCGCCTCTCACGACAGGCATAGTCGCCTTTTACGGCAAGCATGGGTTGCAGAAAATCTATTCTACCCCGGATCTTCACGGGTCCTTATAGACTGGTGAACATCCAGGCAAATATAAAGGAACAGTCAGAAGGTGGATGATGTTGATTTGCCTTGATGGGAACCTTGGATTGTATATTTAACACAGCATTCAGCAACATTCCATCTATATCTAGCCGGCGATAAATAATTGAATCTCGACCCTGCAAACCAGTGATTGACATCATGAGCAACGTCTCACGCCGTCAGTGTATGATGACACCGAGCCTCGTACGACAAGCATTCACTCAGGTTACTGAGGCCATTCCTACCCGAAACCGGACGGGAACGAAAACCTTTGTATATCGTGTACACATTACCATAATTGTAATTGTTCAAGAATAATTTTCAATGCCTTGGCGATTCCTGTATCCTATCTAAGGAAGTGATAAATTAGAATAAGATCTGACCCATTAACAAAATTACCAAAATATCAGCACAATAGCTTACCGAAAGCTCGAGATCGTGAACTGTCCTGCTGTATTCCTTTGTTGTATAAAGTGATAAAATGGGCGTAAAAGGCAAAATTTCCGGAGTGAGTGAGTGAGTGAGTATGGTTTAACGCCGTTTTTTTGCAATATTCCAGCAATATCACGGCGGGGGACACCAGAAATGGGCTTCACACATTGTACCCATGTCGGGAATCGAACCTGGGTCTTCGGCGTGACGAGCGAAAGCTTTAACCACTAGGCTACCCGACCGCCCCAAAAATTTCCGGAACATATTAGGGTAAAAAGGGACAAGCATGTCCGAAGCCTTTTTATCATTATGGTTATCATTAAGTATAAACTGAGGGACAAAAGAAGAAAACGAGTTTAGTTTATTATAAATAGAAAATTGAATAAGTGTTGTGAAATTTGATTATGTCCATGTAACCAAATGTTTACCAAACAGTAATCTGTGGCTGGAACTTTGTGTAAAACAAACGGTTCAATATCAAATGGTTCAAAAATATCTGCAACCGCATGACATGTACACTTACCACATTTTAAATAGAGTAAATGTGCGCCGAAAAAAGTAAATATATTTATTTTTAAAGATACAATGTCTACGATATCCATCCGCAGTTGTGTAACGAAATGTTTTGGGTTTTTTTAATTTATAAAAGTTTAAATCAAATTATAATTATATTTTAAAAAATTTAGCATATGAAGTATTCTTCAGATATTATCAATTGAAAATCAATTATAAAATCAACTGAGAGGTATAGTTTGTGGTGCTCCTCGGTGCAAGTTATTTATTGTTTTATGTGTTGACGAACATGTTCGGAAAATTGCAAATTGTAAAAAAGGGGTTCAACATGGTTCTTATTTGATGTTGACGAGAATATATTATGTTAAGACGAGAATCGACTTTTTTAAAATGTTCTCAGTCACTTCTGTCTGATGTATACATGTACATGCACCAACCTATTACGGACTACGAGTAGTTTCTTTTGCATCAACAGACGTTTTAATGCACAAAGAGCTGTCAGTGTATTGTGTGACACGCACGCTGTTGGTTGGTTGTTTTTTTACGTAACGCCGCTCTCAGCACTATTCCAGCTATATGACGGCGGTTACACGCACGCGGAGACACTTAACGTTCTTGTTGACACCAACAGTCTCATATATATTTGATCAATGATAAGTGAAGACAATAAAAAGGCAGCACTTTTGCATCAGTAACAATGCTGCATTATCGTTTCTACAGCAGTCAAGCATGCCGTGAAAACATTCCGAACTTAAAAGGAATATTACATCTTCAACGTTCTTAAACCTGAAACTTGCCATCATATATATAATGCAGCGGCATATACTTACTTCATTCATCACGGATGGGTAAACAAATTGTTCATTTCGTCATAAACATTTAGCTAAACAAATGTACTGAGGGTTTCTCAATGCGCCAAAAATAAAAGATGAAAAGATGAAGATGGGTTTAGTCAGTGCGTGATGCTGACATTGGTAAAATGCACAAACTGAAACAGAACTGGAATTAAAACCATCCAAAGTCTGGCTGCTCTACATGAACAGTTTGTTGTTGTTCCCACTGACAAGGCCGCAAATGACATAAACATTATATGCAAGCATCACTACATTAATGGTTTGATCAAAGAACTGGGCATAAGTGACATATCAAATAATGCCACACATGAGGCCAGTAGGTTAACTGAGGAAGAAATCGGCCCAAACCATGTACCAGTACTGTCAACTTTGTACTTGACTCTAAAGCCTGAAGACATGACCATTCCTCTTTCATATTTCCAAAAGCTTCCAGAGCTCCATACACATCCGTACAACGAGAAACATATTGCTTGGTCCTGCAATTGTACCACAAAATCTCTGTCTCGGGGATTAACCATAACCCTTAAAACTATCAAGGAAGGAATTTCTTTTTATTCGCAGAAAGGATGCGTATGCTATCGATGATTGATGTTTTCTTATACAAATTTTTGTGTGGAAAGGAATGTTGCGTTTGAGGTATCAAACAGGATTAGTTACCTGATAATCGTACCTATCAGAATGATGCATTGTCATGGTAGAATTCCTATTACAAGCTCCACGAGTTTAGAGTGACGTCATAGGTTAAAGAACGTTGCGTCTTTACTCCCATCCACTGTTTGGCGAAAGCGATCTTTCCTAAAATGGGAAATAATTCTTTTATGTTTGACATGTAAAGGTGTTTCTTTGACGATATGCCATAGTCGTCGGCCTTGCTGCTTTAGATCCACCTGCCCTGTTCGCACCAGACCTGTGACCACCACGTTGGCGGCGAAGGATACATAAACCAAAGAACATTTTCCAGAATACAAAAGTACTGTTCCTTTTGTGCTGTCCAAATAATGACTCGTCATTTACGCTCACATTGATATGGAATACACAGCACTGACTCTAAGCTTAACGACGGAGCAGTTATCAACACAGCAACGCCTGAGACAATCGATAAACATTTCTGTGTCATCTTGTCATCTGCCATGGGTCAGTTATAACAAACTATATTTGGGCAGAAGGGGGATCAGTGGCCCCATCAAGGTACCCATGACTACATAAATGGGCATATCAAAGAGTGTGACCACCCGTTCCTCAGTTTGAGTCCGCTTATACGGCAAGCGTGAGACAATGGGAAAAAGCATATTTATACTCTCTCTGTAAATGAAGCCCCATGAATGTATTCACGCCTAATGCACACCATGAGACATTTATTGTCATTGGTTTTCAGATCATGGCGGAGGGGGATTTTTTCTTGCCTTGATTGCTGTTACTAGTAAATATATCAAATCATCTATGCAGATCAAACATGTTCGCAGCAATGTAACAAAACATTACTTTCTAAAATGGACGAAACAAGAAAGACAGGGTGCTGACACCCTCACACGAAGAATAATGTCAGACAATAGATACGACCGCCCTCGCTCTTCCCTCAATCGCTTATATTTACCAGTAATAATGGGATATATGCAGAACTCGCTTTCGAAATGTCACGCTTGTATCCTAAGTACCAAGTTGTCCGACTCCCCATTGTTCTCGGAGCCTTAGGTTTGGAAGTTCCCAATCTGTTGACTGACATTGGGAGTACCCGGGTTTGCTACCAGGAATACAACCCTTCTGACAATCTGGGTAATGTACAAGGCTGCAGTGTTGGCATGGGGAGTCTTCACATTCCCCGAAAAGTTCTTGGTGGGTTCGACGAGGCAACGCTTCCTGGGAGGAGTTACATTCGCGAGCTTATGATGAGCCTAACCAGCCTGACTGTGCCAGGATCACCCAAACCATCGTTGCTGCATTTTTTAATTTTAATCTGTACATACTGCTACTACTACTACTACTACTACTACTACTAGTAATAATAATAAATTGGGCGAGTACCCGGGTTTGCTACCAGGAATACAGCCCTTTTGACAATCTGGGTAATGCAGAAGGCTGTATTGTTGGGGAGTCTGCATATTCTCCGAAAAGTTCTGGGTGGGTTCGACTAGGCACCGCTTCCTGGGAGAAGTCCCATTCGCTGTCTTGGCTGCGTGTAGAGGGGGCAAGGGCCCTGAGCTGATGAGTCTAACCAGCCTCACTGTGCCAGGATCACCCATAATAATAATAATAATAATAATAATAATAATGATTGTCGTCATTGTCGTCGTTGTCATCATCATTTTGCAGCAACAACACAAGTAATGTTGGTAATTATAATAGGGATAATAATAAGAATAACAACAACATATTTATTTATTGCATACATTCCACGCAGCACATGTTGATAGCGTCAAATGTATGTAGAGCTGAAATATTTTTAGTTTCACTGTTATGTATTACAGGGTATTTTACAGCGCGACTCATCACAGCATTCTCAAATACTTCATCTCAAATACAGGTTTTGTCAGGAGATCTCAACAACTGAGTCGACCTTGTCGCTGTCGTCAGCTGCTTTCGTTCCAGTCGGTTTGGTTTCTTCAAAGTGCACGACGTCATCATTGGAAACTTCCCGACATCGTATTTTCATTGCCCGCAGATTTGTCTTGAAAGATTTGCAATGCCGTTTAATGCTCATTAAATCGACTATCACAACACACAGCATGCTTGACACCAGTATTATAATGGCCACAGAACCCAGAGCTTTACCTCCTTTAGCTTCTTTCAGTCTAGGAACAAATTTCTTCGTGATTGGAATATTTTCAGTATACGCGTCTGAAGAACGCGTCACATTAACGGGGAAACAGTGTACAACAAGTACAGTTGCATCGTCGATGTTATATGAAGTTGATAATGATACAGCGAGTGTTGACGTCAGCGATGGTACAGTGGCTGAAGTAGATGTAACCATTTCAGAAAGCGTCGGTGGCAGAAGTGTGTACTCTGACGGTATCGCAGTGTACGGTGTTGGTGTAGACGATGTTGGGATGCTGCCCGAGTCGCTCCAGTGATCTGTGAGTATACTAAACGAAGCATCCGTAAAAGAAGCAGAAGCTACTGACGTGGCTGCAGACGTCAACGTTGACGCGGCGTTATGGGCGACGGGGACACTAGACGCTGACATGTAATTAGTCGTGGATATTTCTGAAAGACAAACGTTAGGGTAAGTCAACAATAGTGTATAATTTAGCAAAATCTCAACAGAAACACCCATGCGAGGAGTCGACCCCTTGTCTCCCACACGAAGAGAAAACATTTACGACAAGGATGTCCCAAAGTAAAATATAAATTGTACCGATGTGGGGAATCGAACCCGAGCCTTCGGCGTGATGAGCGAACACTTTAACCACTAGGCTACCCTACCGCCCCTAAACAAACTAAAGAGAGCTCACAGCATGATACTTGACTCCGCGAATCTGCCCATGTATAATCCGTGCAGTCCATAACAACAGCGGGGTTGGAAAATATGCTCGTTCGCCTGTTGACATGATGCATGAACTCCACGTCAGTCAAATGAAAATTTATTCTCACGTTGCACGCGGAACCCCAACTGTCCCAAAGCGATGTGTTGTGTTTTGATAGTAGCATAAAACGACAAGACGTAATTTGTTTGGGTTTTTTATTCTTGTTTAACCTCGCACTGAGCAAGATTCAAGATATATGTTGGCGGTCTGTAAATAATCGTGTCTAGACCAGACAATCCAGTGATTGACATCATGAACATCGATCTACGCAAGTGGGCTACGATGACATGCATCAACCAAGTCAGCGAGCCTCACAATCCAGTCCCGTTAGTCGCCTCTGACGACAAGCATGGTTGCTGAAGACCAAATCTAACCCGGATATCCACGGGTGACGTGATGGGATCTATGAGTGAGTGAGTATGGTTTTACGCCGCTTATAGCAATATTCCAGCAATATCACGGTGGGGAACACCAGAAATGGGCTTCACACATTGTACCCATGTCAGGAATCGAACCCGGATCTTCGGTGTGACGAGCGAACGTTTTAACCAATAGGTTACCCGACCGCCCCATGGGATCTATGAACGATTAGAATCCAACACTAAACAAGGTCCTACCTTCACATAATGGTAGGTCCCCATACACCAGGTCCGGGTCCCAACTTCCCGTCTCGTTGCACCGCATACTGCCGTTACTACCGCCCACTTGTATGTAGAGGGTGTTGCAAGAGTATGATATGACGTCGCCAAACACGCCATCACCATGGGACGCTGTGACGTTCTCGAATGATGGGCTCAAACCGCAAGATATCTCTTTAGGTTAACAAAAAAACTAATGTGATACCCAATATGCATTTAGTTATATTGGATTTATACTACATTCATTCCGGCCAAGGCGAATTGCCATTGGGCATTGTATATGTTCTGTTAGAATGACACTTAGCGATTCCATGGAATTTAATGATTTTAGTATATGATCCATGTGTTTCTATTACAAATATCACTTCTCTAAAAGGACGTATTGATTTCAGACCCGCAGATTTCAACCTGTTTCGTGTCATAGACGTCGAAAGTCGGGTTCCTGTGGCAACCCTGGAGTTGTCGCTCAGTTCTGTTGCAAAAGCGAATCTGTTCATCAACGAAGTAGTACGTATGTACCCATCCTGACTGGGAGTAGTCTTCCGGGCCTTCTTCCCACCCTAATCTTAGCCCCACCCGTTAGCAATATCCTTCCATCAGTCACACTTTTAGATTTTCTAAGTGTCTGGCAAACGCATTTTGTGGTTAGACAGCTTCAATCATGCATGTGGCGATAACTTCTTTAAGTGGAACTATGATCCCTTGTTCGTGCATACAGCTCGCAAAGTTTCACTCATGAATAAGCCGTGGAGTCCATAACAACATCAAGGTTTGCTCGTGCGCCACTTGATGCGATGCATGAACTCCACGTTAGTCCAATACAAAAATTACTTTCATGTTGCACGCGAACCCCATATGTCCCAAAGTGGTGTTTTATTGGTTTTTTTAGCAGCATAAAATGACAGGACATAATTTGTTTGTTTGTTTGTTTTTCTTGTTTAACGTCGCACTAAACAAGATTGAAGATATATGATACCGGTCGTTAAATAATCAATCTGAACCAGACAATCCAATGATTGACATCATTAACATCGATCTTCGCAAGTGGGATACGATGACATGCATCAACCAAGTCAGCGAGCCTCACCATCCAGTCCCGTTGGTCGTCACTGACGAAAAGCACGGTTGCTGAAGACCAATTGTAACCCGGATGTTCACGGATGACTTAATGGGATCTATGAACGATTAGAAGCAAACATTAAACAAGGTCCTACCTTCACATAATGGTAGGTCCCCATACACCAGGTCCGGGTCCCAACTTCCCGTCTCGTTGCACCGCATACTGCCGTTACTACCGCCCACTTGTATGTAGTGCGTGTTGCAAGAGTATGATATGACGTCGCCAAACACGCCATCATCATGGGATGCTGTGACGTTCTCGAATGATGGGCTCAAACCGCAAGATATCTCTTTAGATAAACAAAAGAGCATGTGATACACAATATGCATATACTTTGATTGGTGTTATATCACATTCATTCAGACTAAGGCGAATTGCCATTAGGCATTGCATATGTTCTGTTAAAAATGACGCTGAGCGATGCTATGGACTTTTATGAATTTAGTATATGCATGTAGCGCGGCATTCTTCTGTTTTGTACACTTTTGAAGGCATTTGCCTTAGCTGTACCAGCTCAGTGAACCATGTAACGTTTATTGGCGCAGTTTTTAAAAAGTTTTTTTGTTGTTTAACGCCGCAGTCAGCAATATTCAAGCCATATGACGGCGGTTGGCGCATGCAAGTAACCAGGGCCGTGGACGATATTGTCATGTGCAATGTGCACAGATTGTGTTTGCCTTGTTTGCAATCAGTAGATTTTACTCGTGCAACAAACCTGGTCATTTCATTGAATAAGCTGAATGACAGGTGTTCCCTTATGGTGTTATGCAGTGTCGCAAGTCACTAGATGAGGTAAAGAAATGTATTTTGTTTAGAAAAGACCAAAATGTTATTTTTATTTGCTATTTTCAAATTGATATTTAAGAACCTACTCCGGAAACTAAAGTGTCATGGAGTGAGATGGAAAGTAGTTCCGGCATAAACTGTCATTTCACCCCATTGAAATAGCAACTTTGTCTCGTAAAATATCGATTCACAGATAAATATATAAATTCATCCTGTTACAAAATAAGGTGTATATACTTCATATCTGACGATCAGTAATTATTCACAAGTGATTTCGGCGTTGTAATAAACTCGTTTAGTCAGTAAAGAGAATAAGTGATATGACTCTTACTTTTACAATATGGCGCCGTCCCATCAACCACGTGTTTAAACCAGCTCCCATCTTCCGTGCATACTCTCTTCCCGCTGCTTCCGTTGACGAAGTCGTATCCAGGGAGGCAGTTGTAGGTGACGATGTCAAGATACCGGGGGTTGGTTCTGGAAGCGGCCGCACCAGACACCACCTCCAGACCGTCACATGTGACAACTGAAACATTTTAAATCTTGTATTTACCATATGTTTTCCAGCGTGTTATACATCCCTTGCTTACTGATAATGGAATACGATATTTAACACTGTGAGAATGTATAATTACCCTTTTGCACACTCTACAGTTGCAGCCCTTAGAAATCTATCGCGGTTCCTATGGTACATTAATAAGTAATCAATTGTCAAAGTCTAATGCTATCTTGCTGTTGCTGTCCCAGTTGCGTGGATCGATGCTCATTGAAAAGTGGAAATTACACTCAAGAAACATTTGGATCACCGTGAAGCTGCATTTACAGTGAAGAAGAAACACCAGGAATTATCATGGACCAATGAACAGAACTGTGTTTTTTGTCATCTCGATCCTGTTAAATTGTAATTATCTAACAAGGGCATCACCGTACCACGTGTTGTCAGTGTTCAAACCACATGGCGTAAATATAAGCTGAATGGCCCTCATGGAAAGAATGCTGGCGGGTTCTGCATGGCATCCGTCGAAAATCGCTGACGCTTGAACTTGAGTAAGTGGATTTTGAAATTAATTCTGTGATATGTTTTTATCAAACAATGTGAATGGGTCCCTTGTTATTGACAAACAATCAATTCCACTACACTGGAATTACTCATCAATGTAGCCATCACATTTACACATCCACCCCCCGTCAATAACATGATATCTCCATTTACAATTGCGTGTCCGTTGTGCTGAAACCGACAGATGGGAAACCAGATGTTTGTTGGATATATGTAACCACGTGTTATGATTTTATACAGCCATTTGGTGCAAAGGTGTGCAATATGTGATAAGAGAATGAAACTAATTATGTGGGGCCACCTAAAAGACCGCACAGATTTTCAGGATGAAGGAATAAATATGGTGTGGCATTAGTCTGCTTGTTGCAATATTCCAGCAATATCACGGTGGTGGACACTCGGGAATCGAACCCGTAACGAGCGTAGGCAAAAGCCACTGGGCTACCCCTGTCGTCTCCTAAAATTGAGTGAATTTAGAGTTAGAATATAACCGATTACACATGAATTTATATTCCCTTCAAAACACTGACATTGGGTGGTTGATAATATATGAGAATGGCGCTAAATCAATTCTTTTCTAAGGAAGAGAATATGACCACACACAATTTTTTTTAGAAAGGAATAGCCGAAAATATGTTTTTATTCAGGACACCTGGTATGTCCAATAGAATGTTTTTTCAATGCGTTTTTTTGTCGCGAAGTCTGCTAGAAATGATGTCAACACTGCCGAAATATTTCCACATCCCCAGGGAAAACGCGGGGAATTGCCTATCGTGAATAAATACAGATTGAATCTTTGTTAATGAAAACTTCATATCACTAAACACACTAAACATTTTCTCAGGGTTTTGGCAAACTTTGAAAACAGTCAGGTGTTTTGACTGAATGTGACAGAACATGTTCCCTGTTACCCATTCTAATGGACAAAACTATCGTCCCCGACCGGCGTCAAGACTTACATTTAACAACATTTGGGTTTATTTGGCTGTCACAGACCCGTATATTTCATTAATATATTTGAGAAACGGCCACTAGACATTAATTACTTAGAGATCGGTCCGTTAAGGTAGTCCAAGGATTAGTTAGAATAGGAAATTTAAAACTTTGCTTCCACCCGAGAAATATTCTAAAGCTATTGTTGACTTCAAACTTCGAAAAACATTAGTTAAATTCAGAGCAGGGCTGCTACCTTTCAAAATAAACGAAGGTAGGTGTCAAAGAATCTATATCACACTGGGAGTATGTCCATGATCTAAATTCGGTATAGAAGAAGAATTTCATTTCATGTTTATATGTCCAGCTTATGATGAAATTAGAATGAAATATCTAGCACAAATTTACTTGTTAATTGTATTAATTTAAGGAAACTTCTTCTCACATATAGTACCTATAAGTTAAAAATGTTGTGTCTCTATATTTACCATGCTTTATGAAAAGAGATGTAAAGGCCTACGTGAGCAATAGTCATAAATCTATAATTCATTAATTGCAGTGCTATACATATGTACTGACTATGTGAATTTAACCGTGTTTTATTTGTATGTATATGAACCCATGGACCTAAATACAGAAATACATTATTTATTTATTGAACATTCTTCAATTATTTACGTCCATGTCTATTCGATTTACCTTTATTGTCACCATTCAATGATCAGCAATGATGATATATCGTGATACGTTCAATAAAACATTTTTTAAATGTCTCCCGCCTAGTTCATCGTTTCGGCCATCTTGACAAGGCAAGGCACGAATGTCTCGATTTTTCTCAATGATAAGGAATCTTTCATGCATAAAACACAATGCAGCAGAATTAATGTACAGTGTTCCAATGAGGACGGCTAACTGCTGTGTCTACAGTCCTTACTTCTCTTGAATGTAATTGATACAGGTTTTTTAGATAACCTTACCTTTCAATAGAAAGTTACTCGACAAATCGTATAATACAACTTAATGATAGTTGATCGTGGTGCAAACTCGACTGTTTACCCTTGGCTAACCTGTACAGAGCAGTTAATTAATTACTGCGGCATGACCGAAGGATTTCTCGTACCTCAATATTTTCATAACGATTGGATTGCCATAACTGTTAAAAGAGTGATAAAGGATCATTACATTTTATCAAAAACGGAGAAGTGACCTTTTAGCTAGTTCGACAGGTACGCGCTATCAATTTGTTAAACAACTTCCATCCCTAACAAATATTTACTATATTAAACAGCGATTTCTTAACCTATTTTACATAACTACAATTCATTATGTACCTGTTGGAGCAGTCTGTTGGAACTGCTTAGAGTGAGTGAATTAAACGTTTGACGTCGCATCAGCATTATATCATCAATATATCGACGATAGAACACGGAACTGGTTCATTATGTAAATCACTAGCTATTGCCGACGAATTCCATTATATATTTCGTTGTGGACTGTTCAAAGAAGACAGACATGTGTACATATCTACTCCTTCTATGAGGCTCAGAACTTATCTTTCAACCCTCGTCACAGTTTTATCTACCATTTTACGCCCAACATCATGGTGTATTTCCTTGTCAATATCGCCTTCTACTCGACCTATCGTTAAAGAAAAATTGGCTTTCGTGTTATTTTCTCTTTGCTGGCAGTTATTTAAGAAAGTCCATTTTCTGCACAGGCGTGTATTTCCACAATATTATCACAATCCTCAAGTCGGTTACCTGTACCTTAATTTCCCAATAACGATTGTCATATCCCTCCCACGTTTGGATGCGATCGTTCGGCCATCGCGTATATCTGCCTTGTCCAGCTACATCTATGGGGAACAACCCACTAAATCCCCCCCTCTCAATAATAACGTCGTCCAATATACGACGTCACCAAGTTGCAAGAGCATGTTCGGATCTCCTGACTTGACGTCATGAACGATCAATGTTTTCTCGTGAAATAAACCACACTTCGTTCGTCATTGTTCTTTGCGATTTATCTTATATTTTAAACACAATACATGCTTATGGAGGAATGCAATAGAATGATATAAATCATCTGGACACAATATACCGGTTTCCGGTTACCATCCACAACGGTTCGTCGCAGTATTAAATGAAATGAAACAATTTGTACGCTCGTTATAAAATGGAACCCCGCAGACCTTACATTACATCGCAACAGTGTAAATTTTATTACCAGGATACAGTTGCCATCTATATGTAGGACAGGCTGATTTTACGAGCTCAGGCGAATTGAGACATTAAAATAATCAATTGAACAGTGTATGCATCGGACACCTCACCTTACCGGTTTAATTGAGTGAGTGAGTGAGTTGTTGAGTTGGGTTTAAAGTATTACAGTATTCAAGTTATATCGCTGCGTGCCAGCTTAATGTGTGAGGAAAGCCCGAAGTGATGCAGGTCTCAGACGTTTACCACTTCGGGGAAACCCATGAGCACGGGTATGGTGCTGACAAACCTAGAAACATAATCGGAGCGAACCGGGATTCGAACCAACAATATCATAGGTTTCTGGCGTGCCCAAGGGACGCAACTCTGCACGGCGAATCGGGGCGCCTGGGCCACCCGTGCCCCCCTTACCGGTTTAAATAACGACACACATATACTGAGGAACTTAAATGAATATTTGCCGAAACAGATTCCACAGGGCCCAAAAGGCAAAATACATGTAGGCATAAAAATGATAAGAAGGAACACTGTTAATCAGTATTAACACCAGGTATTCGCGAAAAGGGTCCGCGTGTCTTGCTCTACACCTGCACTCGCTACTTACAATAACCCTATCCTTTCCAGATTGTGAAAGGCACAATAAACTCGAAAATACAAGGCTTTTAATAAAACGTTTTTCCTATATTTAAAGTAAAATCAGGCCCTGGTTTAGACAGAATACGGTAATTTATCGACCATTCGCAGGTCACGAATGTGGTTACAATGCACTGTACAAATCGATGAAGTATATTCGTTTATATTAATTTGAATTTGTTATCTCTTTGCGTTCTTTCAAATCTAGTGACTAAAACGTCCGTTGGTCAGACCGAAGTGCTTTTGGATTCATTAACTTGCATGAAACCTATTCGTGTGTCCCCTGCAGTGTTACGATTGGGTTACTGCCAAACGTGGCGTACAACCAAACTCAGGATTTGATATTGACCTGTACTTTGTTATTGATATGGATTTTGATCTACCGTTACCGTTTTTTTATGACGATATCAATCAATCGATATTTGTTAATGAAAAGACCCGTGAAGATCCGGGAAAGGATAGGTCTTCAGCAACCCATGCTTACCGTAAAAGACGACTATGTGTGCCGTACGTAAGAGGCGACTAACGGGATCGGGTGGTCAGACTCGCTGACTCGCTGTATCCCAATTGCGTAGATCGATGCTCATGACATCAATACTGCATTGTCTGGTCCAGACTCGATTATTTACAGATCGCCGTCATATAGCTGGAATATTGCTGAGTGCGGCGTTACACAACAAACAAACAAATCATGATACTGAACAAAGATTGAAAATAAACAAATTGGAGCCTCACCGTCTCTGAGGTGACACGTGTGTGGGCACTTGGTCTTGTTCACGCCACATTCGCCGACAATATGTGCAATTTTACACGAGCAGTCAGTGTCGCCATCAGATGGATGATCTGGAACGTTAGATATACTTACTGAAGATGTCGAAAAACAATTGCGGCAAAACATACACACTTCAACGTAAAAGGCAACCATTCCCAGTTGATTGAATTCATTTGTTAAAATGTGTCACTATGCACCCCACACAAAGAAACTGACAGAGCTTCACAATGGTTCCACCGTGGTCAAGCGGATAGAGCGTCTGTCCGGCGAAAGATGATGAAAGAAAGTACCCTGCCTGGTGCTCGGCATTAAAGGGATGAAGGTCTGGTCGGCTCGGTGCAGTATACTGTGTCTGGGTAGGGTATTCATGCTGTATCTCAGTGTACTAGCACTTAAAAACCGGCACCTGGCCGGACTAGTACACACACACACACACACACACACACACACACACACACACACACACACACACACACACACCATTCTTGCCGTAAATCGCGAGTATGCTTGTCGTAAGAGGCGACTAACGGCATCGGGTGGTCAGGCTCGCTGACTTGGTTGATGCAAGTCATCCTATCCCAATTGCGTGGATCGATGCTCATGATGTCAATCACTGAATTGTCTACGGGCCAGAGTCGATTATTTGCAGACCGCAGGCATATAGCTGGGATATTGCTGACTGCGGCGTTAAACAACGAACAAACAAACAAAACACACACACACACACACACACACACACACACACACATGTACTACATTTGCAGGAGAACATCAGACGCAATGACAAGATCTAGACACAAACGTAAGGTTGCCAGATGGGTCATCACAATTTATGAATCTTTTCGCACCAAATAATATAATATATTCAATTCAATGAACCAGTTTCTAATACTCCGTAATTTACATGATCCATGTCTATCTTACCATCTACATGTATAAATGTTCAACATGATTGATAGTTGATTAGAAACCATATAAAAACTAAAGAAAATAGTTTAAAATTAACTGTACCATAGTACGATGATATACGTTAGTTATATGTAATATGTAATATTTAAATATTTTGATAACGTAATTCATGATAATTACACAATACGGCAAGAGGTGTAGATCTTACTTGGACAGGATGAAAGACTCTGACAAGCAAGAGCGCATTGACATCCCATGGACACACTCCTAAAGTAGCACTCGCCATCAGATGCACGTTGATTGCACAGAGCGTCAGTTTCGTCATTCTGACACACCCCTTCAACATCTGCAACACAAAGAATCAAAATCTTAATTGTATTCATATTCGTATGAAAGTCATAGATAAAAACAATGTGACTGACCATGTATATTTTTGTTGCTGTTGTTGTATGATGTTTATCATCTCATCATACTGCAACCAACCTGTAGGTCATACAATTACAGGTGACTTGTCTATTGTTGATTATAACAACCTTCGTCAGTTATTCAAATATGGACTAAAATATCGTGAGCAGCCTCCTACCCATTGGGATCACAGCTTTAAAATCATTATGAGTGCTGTTGAAGCATATACCAAAAGATGAGCCAAAGGAGAATAGGGACCTGTTGAATGTCTCTCAGTCGGTGCGTGATGTTGTCATTAATAGAATTCTCAAACTGAAAAAGAGGATACAGAATCCGAATAAACCCATTCTGTCCATGCAAGCTGTCCTGTGGCTATCCTCCATGAAAGGTTTGTAGTTGTATGAAATTGCTTGAACGAGGTTGGGTGGTTGGTTTGTTGTTTAACGCCGCACTCAGCAATATTCCAGCTGTCTGACGGCGGTCTGTAAATATTCGAGTCTAAACAAGACAATCCAGTGATTAATATCATGAACATCGATCCACGCAATTGAGATACGATGACATGCATCAACCAGCGAGCCTGACCACCTGATCCCGTTAGCCGCCTCTTACGACAAGCATAGTCACCTTTTACGGCAAGCATGGGTTGCTGAAGACCTATTCTACCCCGGAATCTTCACGGGTCTAACGAGGAACTTGGTATAAGTGACATATCAAATAATGCCATATAGAAGGCCATTAAGTTAACTGAGGACGAAATTTCCAAAACGATGTACCACTGGTATCAACATCGTAATGTTTGTTTGTTGTTTAACGCCGCACTCAGCAATATTCCAAAAATCAAATAGAAATGCGTAGTACTAAGAATGTACCACCGAATCCCTGTTTCAGAGATTAATCATAATCCTTAATAGAAACAAGGAAGGGCTTTTTATATTCACAGAAAGTATTAGAGTTCAATTAATACCATTTGGCTTCTAAAAAACTCAAAGGATTTGCTTGCCGTTTTGCAATTTTAGAAATGAACCAAGTTCAATTCTGTCAAAACTATTGTTTTTTAAACTTTGTACACCACTATTCCATATGACAAACCTAAGGAAAGACTTCATTCCTTGTTGCATGGGGCATTTGTTACAAAACGTGGTGACCAGAGATATAGTTACAGATCCCATTTCAGAGGTTCAGGACAATTTGTCAAAAATGAAAGTAAATGCCATCTGAGGTTTACTGAGGAAACAGTATGTGAAATGTTGGACGTCCTCATTGAAATCGTCTATGCAAACGTTTAGAATAAAGACATTAAGGCAAGAAGGAGACATCCCAATGGGCACCAACTGTGCTCCCCGTCTTGTTGACTTGTTGACCATTAGCATATGAATCTGAATTTCTGCTCGGATTGGCAAAGTCAAAATAAGGTAATTTTGCCAAGTATTTTAATTAAGCGTCAGGTATAGCGATGATCTGATATCGTTCAATAACCGTCAAATAGTCAATTCCCTTCCACTGATTTACCAACCTGAACAAGAAACAAAAGAGATAAGTGTGACCGCTTCACCTGTTTCATATTAAATTTTATATCTGTGCATAAAGATTCGGAGTGACAAAAAACTCTCCACAAGACTGTATGACAAGGGGGATGACTTCAACTTTCCAATAGTCAACTTTCCCTTCGTCTCAAGGCCACATTAAAGCTCTTAAGAAGTTTTATGGTAGACATGTGGAGAATATTTCCAAATTTCAAACATTAGTGACAAAAATGATGTTCAATGTAATTCCCGATTTTGATTGACACATGTATACCATGTGCTTTTTCAGGTGAACAACTGACTCGACTTTGCAAGGGACCGCCTTCGTGGTCCAGTGGTAGAGCGTCTACCCGGAGAATGGAAGGTCGTGGGTGCGATCCCAAAAGTCTTACGAAAAGACGTTAAAAGATGGTACTTTATATTCTACCTGGCGCTCGGCATTTAGGGAAAAAAAAGGACTGGTCGGCTCGGAGTCAGTATACCCATGTTAAACTGTTAGACTCACCTTTTCGCGAACACCAGGTATCATCACTGTATATTTATTCATATTTACCCTTATATAGGGTGATGGTGGTTGGGATTCTTTCAAACAAATTAATTTGTTCTAGATAAGACTGTTTTGCCAGTAGTAGGTGGTCGCTTGACATGCTATCAAAAAACTATAAAGTGTCCTGCACCACCTTTCAGAGAAATTAATTGTCCTTTGTGAAGCAGTTGATGAAACTGACATGTCTCCCGAGAGGGATACATTCAAGAGCTTTCACGCAAAAATCACTACAAGCTACGACGCGAAATGTATCACAAAACACGGACGTGTTGAATATGTTTCTTGGATCGGGTGGTCATCCATGAAACATCGTTAAGAGTTCATACTTTCAGTGTGAAAAGTGAAACAAAACCAATTCCTTGCAAGAGGTCTTGCCACGTACAATCTTTTGATAGTATCTCGTTGATTTTTAAATACGTAACTATATCGTTATAGTATTTACTTACCTCCACTGAAGTAAAACAACATCAGGTAAGGTATTAGAAAATACGTCCACATTTTCTGCTTAAACCAGTAGCGTAAAGCTTCGACAGAGAAATGAAACCTGAAGAATGTTGAGTAAACAAAAAAGCCCTCTCGTCCTCTCTCATGTGACTGACGCTATAGATCAATCCTTCAAGGAGTGTCGATCAATTGGGACTAACATTCATGTATGTACGATACTCGGTGTTTTCTGAATGTAGTTCACGGACGAGGTAGCCATCGACTGAGTCACGGTGTGAGACCTACAGCCTAAGTGTTCATTTGTGTTGTGTTTAACTCAACCATTGTTGTAGTTGATTGGAATAATGTTTGCGAACTTGTTGATATAACTTATTAATATATGTTATTTATTTCTCACCAACAAGCCTTCACCATTATCATTTCATCTGCTGTACGTAGGGATGCGGGGAAGAAACGAGGATCGGGTGGTCATCCTCGTGAGACTGGCAAACACCTTTTGGTACTCAGGATTTCGGGGGTCTGTTTAGTGGGTATTTGGGATTCGCGGGGTGCAAATATAATCGTATTTGGTACTGATTCAATATTACAAAACAATAGTTTAAACTGGTCTTGATATGTATTATTTTTCGAACCTTTTAACTGAAGATAAACATTAAATCACCTTTTAGTCAAAACATTTCAGATTAGTATAATGCGAGATTAAGGGGTGGACAATGAGACTTAGAGTGAAAAGTAGGCATTCTGTGTTCAGAATATGAGGTATGGGCTTGGCACTCTGCATCATGGCTGAATGCATGTCATCGTTCCCCACTGGCTTAAATATGATCGATTAGCCGATCTTCAAGATGCTCTTATTTGCAGGTCGCCGTGTTACAGCGAGAACAGCTACATCGTTACACAACATTCAATCACCCACTTCACTCGGCTGTTTAACCTTCTTATACCTGTGTTAAATAATACACTGATTGCTGTGCACATTTTCCGCGCATTATGGTGTGTTCCGTCTTGTCTAAATTAATGAGGCAATCCTGCTTCTTTTGTTTTTTTAACGCAGCATTCAGCAATATTACAGCTACATGACGGTGGTCGTGTCTGGATCAGAAAATCTGGCGATTGACATCATGAACATCGATCTACGCGATTGGGATAAGATGACATGCATCAACCAAGTCAGCAAGCCTGACCACCTGATCATATTTGTCGCCTCTTACGACAAGCCTAGGTTGTTGAAGATTAATGCTAACCCGGATCTGCACGTATGAGACAATCCTTGGTGAGCCGGGACTTCACTATCATTTCAAAATCATATTTGTTAGCAACTAGGTTTTCTTACTTTCGTACAAACAGACCAAAATGAGGATTGTGTGGATCATGCTATCAACAGCTGGTATACGCAGATTAGGATTTCGTTTATATTAGTTTCAACGAAAGCAGCAATTGCTTTTAGATTTGTTTATGTATTTGTTTATATGGCATAATGAACCGGATAAATTTAAAAGAGATATTGGAAAAATGAATTATGAGGGTGATGGTTTAAGAATGCCAGATATTAGAAATGTCATTGAAACTAAAAATAATTGCATGGAATAAAAGAATATTAAAATACAATTTTAAATTGAAAGTACTGTTTAACGCTGATATATCTTCAAGGAATAACGCTTTTCTTCTTAAAGGGAAAACCTTTATTTAAACTAATGTAATATGTTCGACAACAAACAACTTACAGAAAGACGTAATTCGAGCATGGGGAATTTTTACGACAATGACAGGTACTAACGTCAAAGAAGCTAAAGTATGTTTGTTTGTTTGTTTGTTGTTTATAACGCTAATAAATTCGATGCTGTAAAAATAAACACGTTCATGAAATTTTGGTTTTTATGTCATCTTCTAATAACTATTTGTGGTATACGTTATACGAAGGTATATGTTACGCCTCTTCTGTGTCACCAATGAAAGTGACTATTGAATACATCCATTAACTTATCTCTTGAAGTGTACTTACAAAGTCTACGCATGTTGTAACTATTTTTGTAACATTTTGTCTCTATTAGCTATCATACTTACTTCAATATGAATTTAGCCTTCCTTTGTACAATGTCATTTATACGTTTATGTATACCAGGAATAAAATACCAAATAATTTATTTTTTTTAATCAGTAAATGCACTATGCACTTTTTCTGGTTCATCAATCACTTGGCGGCACGGGTGGCCCAGTCGTCTAAGGCGCCGCGATTCTCTGTGCAGAGTTGCGTCCCTTGGGCACACCAGAAACCTATGATTGTGGGTTCGAATCCCGGTTCGCCCCGATTATGTTTCTAGGTTTGTCAGCACCATACCCGTGCTCGTGGGTTTCACCGAAGTGGTAAACGTCTGATACCTGCATCACTTCGGGCTTTCCTCCCACATTAAGCTGACACGCCGTGATATAACTGGAATAATGTTAAAAGCGGCGTTAAACCCAACTCACTCACTCACTCATCAATCACTTGATTGTCAGGTTTGTTTGCGGGCCTCCGTTGCAACGCAGGAGTACTGTTGTGTGGCGTCAGGAAATAAAAACTTAGTACTTTGTGCAAATTTTGTGAATGGCCGGTGCTACCGGTAGGGAAAGAATGCTTAGCCTTTCCCGAACACCGGGTGTCATTACTGATTTTCAGTGGTCCATGCACAGCTTTTTTACCTTTTACGCCAAATGAAATCATTTTCGGCAGATATTCTCTTACATTGACTATTTATATTTACATTCAATCGGTAGATTACAGACCAGAAGGAATTATTGGTTTGAGTTATATCTGGTTTCACGATACAAAAAAAATACCCCCAAAAAATTATTAGTTAGTTAGCAATGACCCCCAGTAAATAATTAAAAACATTAAAATTATTGCCTCTCCACCCCTTACTTTGATGAGGCAGAACTTGATCTACATCACGGTTACTCACACCTCACAACTGTCAATGGCTGCCAGTGTTCTTCTTTACCTAACCCTACACGAAGCGAGATGACAACCCTGATCTATGATGTGGTTCAACATTAACCTGTAGATTTACTAGGAGTGAATCTGCTGGTACCATGTGATTACCAATGGAACTAGGTATGACTGAACAGCCATTGTTTAGACTGCAAACGAGCCGGCTTTGTTGACACGAGGAATCTGCATGGTTTGACCTGTCAATGTCAAGATTTCACGGAGCCAAAACCAGCAATGAGGCAGTTTTGGCCCAGAAATAGTTGTTCGAGTATGATTTTCTTAGTTGTGCGTGTTCTGAAATGAATTTCATCAAGTTTGATCAGCTGTGTCTTCAGTGATGTGTTAGCGAAGGGACGAGTGTTTTCTGATGAATTTTCAAATCCCCTCCTGCCAAATCCTTACGGTGTAGGTTGACGGAGATGGCAATGAATATAAAACAGAAAAAAGGTTTGTAAACAACATATTGTCATGAATAAATTTTCTTCATACATGTTTTTATAATGTTATTTATTTTACTTTCATTGACGATCGAAATTGAATATTCCGAGTCTATTCCATGTTAATAAACAGTTCATTTGTATGCAAAATATGCCTTTGTAAAGTCCTGTAATCTCATCACAGATGCAGTCGGGATTACGACCTAGAACAACATATCGTCGCCAAAAACACGCGATATATAACTACCGTATTTCCTCTCTTAGACGCTAGGCCGTCTATTAATTTCGCGAGAGACATTGGTTGGGCAAATATTAGAGACCTGTGCAAATCAAACGTGTAATAGAGGAAATATCGATACGTTTTACAGTTCCTATTGGTGATCGATCTGCAGCCATTCTTCTATTAATCGATATGTAGGCTATCGATGTATTCATGCGCACATTTGTTTTGTGAAAAGGCTTAATATATTTGAATGGGGTTTCCGTAGCAAAAAGGAAGAATTGCGAGTTTTATACAATCTGGTTCAAATGCATCTTAGACATTATGAAACCTTTTTAAGTTTAAATGTCTGTAAATAATTGCCAATGACATATTCTCAGAAGTAGATGATTAATCGATTACAACTAAAATCACGTGTAGCTGCGTTGAATTGTGAAACATGAAAATCACATTTACGGATTCCATTGAACAATATCGCCCAGAAATACATTTACATTCATTTTTCACTCTAACTCAGCGTAATTAAAAAGGAAAATATTTGAGGCAGCGAATCTAACACTAAACAAAAAAGGCTATAAAAAGTACGTACAACGTAATGCAAACACCATAAACTCATAGATTTCATATGGGAGACTCTCTCTCTCTCTCTCTCTCTCTCTCTCTCTCTCTCTCTGCTACTCTCTCTCTCTTTCTCTCCGTGATTACAGCAGGTGTTCCTGAAACTAACCCACAATCAGCTGTCTATGTGTGAGTGAGTCCGTGAGTTTGAACAGTATTTCAGTTGTATCGCAGCAACTCATAACAGTGCATTGTTGTGTGGACACTTCCAACTATGACGCATCAATGACAGATATAATGTTCGATGCAAATCACTATTTTGACTTGTACCATATATTCCCATTGTATTTTTGGGTGAACACTTGACTTGCTTTTGCATGTGTTTGTGACGTGTGCCACCGGCTTTCCTTTTCGCGAGCACCTCGGATAGTGATTCATAAACACATGCTCAGCATATAGTCGGAATCGTAAAATCGGCTCTGCCTTTAGCAGATATATCTTATGAATATAGAAATGGTTTTGTCGCTTTTTATTTTGAAACTTCCTGTTATTCTGTATTAATAAATTGATATGCTGTATCCCTGATGCAAACTAGACTGACATCTTGTCTCTGAAATGAACATATCGTGCAGAAAAAACAGTTGTTCAGTTATCTTAATAAAAATATAATAAAAGGGAGCCCAGTGACTCTCTTCATTTTCAGATACTGCAGTAATCTAGATTTGCCAAACATTATAGACTTGCATGGGCTGTATTTGATATATATTTGTATCAGGGTCTGTAAGACACACTAGAAGCAAACATACTGGGTCATTTAAGAATTGACTTCAATATGTTTTTTGCGTTTATAGAAGCATAATCGTAAATTAAACAAGTTTGCGCACTTCACGTTAATCCGCTTTTTTAAATATAATTTTAGCAATACATAAATCAACAATGATACCGTTCATGGCCTGCTTACTTGATAATTAATACAATAAATGTAGACAACGATTCGAAATTAGTGACATCCTAAATGAATTGAAAGTGATTTCGTGGCATTTCATTGGCTCACCAAGCAATGTGTTTGTTAATGTTTCTATAAACGAAAACACCCATTACGCCACGCCCTCTAGGTGACTTCCTGATTGGTTGATTATAGAATAGGCAGGGTTTGACCATCTTCCCGAGGCAAGGGAGTTAACTGACTTTAAAAGTCCAGTTTCCATCCTTGCCGAACTAGGCTGGAATTACTGGGCTCGATCGTTGCGCCACCAGTGGCTATTACTAATTATGTCCCTTCTAAGCCTCTCCTATGGACCAGTCAGATTCCACCTGTCGTATCACTTGCGTTTGCTTCGCACAAAATGGTGGCGCCCGGTCAGGACGATCTGATCGATAATCAAGATCTATATTGTGATAAAACGGGTCTTACATCGCGAAATGCATCAAATCACGAGAGCACCTTGATTAAAAACATGAAAGGATTTGGAAAATATCTGCTGACAACGAATTGGCAATGCACCCTGCAATCGATCGAAATCTGCACGACAGTATACGAACCGGATTTTGATTTCGGTGCGCGATTTTGATTGGACTATGCAAAGACTCGTTAGTCCAGACAAAACGTAACTCCATAATACCAGCCTAGTTCGGCAAGGGTGGAAACTGGACTTTTATAGTCAGTTAACGCCTTTGCCTCAGGAAGATGGGTTTGACTGGCATTATTACTCTGAGCGAGGTTAACGTTGAAATAAGCAGCTATGATGTCGTTATTGTTGACATATTTATTTAAAAGAACTGACCTCAATGTGTCTGGGGTTTGTGTTTATGGAGGTATAAACGTGAGAACTGATGTGCACTCTGTGGAAATCCGCTGTTACGTTAAGTGTGTGCATCGATGTTTACGTTTATGCCTCCATAAACGCAAACAAATACTGTCGTCAATTCTTAAATGCAACCGGAGGGCCTATAATTTAGGTCCTCCGTCTCTAATAGGCGAAGCGTTTGAGCAACGTTTGTTTTTTTTCCAACAGAGATTAAATTAAGTATATACTATACAAACAATAGTGCTTACGATGAACAACAATGTGATGATAGCGGAATATATTAATAGTTGATCAAACGTTACGAAACTATTTCAGTTTCTCAAACATAAATGCATCAGTGTGATAGTGAAGCAGTATCGAACAGTCAGGAATACATAATTGTATTCTATGTCATGGTATTTCACACTTATTGTTTGCATGTTGTTTAACGCCGCACTCAGCAATATGACGGCAGTCTGTAGGTATTCAAGCCTTCACCGGTCAATCCATTGATCGACATTATGAGCATCTAGCCACGCAATTGGGACACGATAACATGCAATCAACCAAGCCATCAATCCTGGCCCCCTGATCAATTTAGTCACCTCAAACAAGCATATGTTGCTGGGGACCTATAGTCTTACCCCTAAGCCCCAACGGGTGGTCTAATGTCACATGTATGTATGTGTGCGTACGTGCAAGTACGTATGTCAGGTTCTTTTCTTTTAGGTATAATAGGATATCGTGCGTGTGTCCGATTTTCAAAGCAAATGCAATTTCTTTGAGGTCATTGTTTTATTTTATTGAATAAATACAAAGAATACATAAATATTTACAATGATCATTAACATCAATATAAGAATTGAAAGGATATTACGCTTCATTGATTCAACATTAACATCGGTAAAGCCCCCTTTACACAGGGCTGCCACATTTGTGCCACCTTGGAACGACTAAGGCAACCATTCTGCCTCCTTTGAGCCTCCAACGACGACCTGGCAAATTTTATGGTCGCACACGGGAAGCACAAAGGTCGCCATCCTGTGTAAAGGCCCCATTAAGTAAGTTCATGCTGCCTCTCAATCCATCGTTTTATTTCTCTGTAAAGTCGGTATTTTGGCCTCTTTTGAACTTTGTAGGCAAGCTGTCTTCGCTCTCTCCATCCTGAAGCCGAGAGCAGTGACAGAAGGGCGCGGAGGAAGAGGGCCTTTCTCTTCCCAGTACAGCGCCATCTGCACCAGGTAGTCCCGTCCATGTTCCGCAAGAGCCTTAACTTCTTCGTTGGAGGACGTCTCTGTAATATTCATCCTAATTACACATAGGCCACAAAATGAAGTCAACTTGTGGGTGTTTATGGAAACAAACACACATAAATTATTACTTAACGAATGAAATGCCTTGAATCATATGCAATTTATATATAGCTATATATTACTTATGTGCTCAGTCATATAAAATCGGGAACTTAGTAACTATTCACAGCTGATTCTTTTAATATATTTTATTGCTATGATATCACACAATATCATGTCATATTAAAACAGGCCCTTTCATGCGCGTTGTCTAAATACTACTTTCGTGAACACACAAATGGTATAAATTCATCATTGATATGGAAATGAAATCGTTTTGAGGTTTTCCGACAATCGTGTTGATCTGTTGTTAGCTTTAATGTATGCCAGTACAGCAGTAACCACCTTCTGCAGCAAGGAGAGCATCCATGTACTTTTTGTCTCCGTAAAGTTCTTCCAGTAAACGTTTGAGCCTCGCATCATCAATGTCGACGTAGCCGATGTCGCCAGATGCCGTGGTGTAATCAATGTCGTTGGTGTCACGGATGTTGTTGCCGCCCGCACCACGCTGAAATGACATCAATAATGCATCGTATCAACCTACGTGTATTTGCTTCTCAACTATTGTGTGTGTGTGTTAAGGGTGGTGGTGGAAGTTGCTTGGGTGTCCAAGTCGTTTATGTTACGTCCTCAGGTGTGACAGAATACAGGCACATCTGATTATGTTACTCGGTTTGCCAGCA